TACGGTACAGCAGCAAAATCCAACATCAATATACATATTTTGCTGTTTGCTATTATTGCAACTACTTAAACTTTGGAAAGCCTACACATTCTAGGATGGGCTAAACATGGCACTGCAACCCTTGCAGTCTATAGGAAGTGTCAATTTCATTCTCCCAATTCGTATTCAACTTGTAGTCTTCTGCAAAGCATCCTGTTGCATCCAACTGTTCCTTTGATTGCTCCTGCTCTGGGAACATTTTGACTCTGGGCTCTGTTGGAAGTTGAACCAAATAAAGACTGGAAAACAGACCCTTTTAACTAACAAAAGCATTTGCTTCTGGGCGAGAGGGAACAGATTGTGAATTTTGTTTACAGCATCCAATATTTGGAATATTTGTAAATAAAAATGTTATTTTTTCTATTTATTTGTGTCTGATCTTTCCAGTGTCAAAAACTATTCTGAAATCCATTGTCTGGGATTACTGTTGAATTTTGCTGTTGAATTGTCAAAATAGGGCTTTACTTTATTGCATGGCCTTAAAAGTACTTTTACTTGCTGGAAAATGTCGTTCAAGATGCTATGCAGCATGGGAAAAAGCACTGGCTTTCTTCCAGCATGATTTTTGCAAGCACTTTTTGAACTGAATTCTTCATGGAAGTGGTCTTGGCAATGCCTATGCCAGCCTTCCCCAATCTAGTGGCCTCCAGATGTGTTGGACTGCAGTTCCCATGCTAGTTGTGAATTAGTGCTGTAGTATCAACCCATCCTGAGGGCACCAAAGGGGAGAATCTGGATTACTCCTGAACACATGTCTGTTCATTCAACATCAAACCTCAAATCATGATGAGAGTATAACCCATCCATTTGCCTGTCACTTGATACTGGGATAAAAGGAATCATCTAAGTCAAGGTGTGCCTTCTTAATCAAATGCCCGCTCCACTCAAAAACTGTAACCAGAGGTGCACATTTACAGAGAAGAAAATATTTCAGTGAGAAGCATTTTGAGATATAAGCTTCATGTAACAGTTGTATAGCAAATATACACTCAAATATCAATAGTCTAAATTTTAAAAAAACATGTTAAAGGAAAATGAGTTTATACAATTTTCCCAAAACTCTACAGAGATTGGAATACATTTATGTACTGACACCTGCAGTTTGTAAATTTAAGTTTCTAATTTAAGTTTCTAACAAAGCTAATAAAATGAATAAAAGTTTGAATTCCAAGGACATACTTGAAAAAATATTTTTACTAGACAGTATAAATTAATTGTATTAGGGAAAATTGTTTGCAGAAAAGTCACACAATTTGTATTAGAATGTGAGGTACTAAGTAAACTCTGTCATGAATAAAAGCACTAATTATTCTTCCAGCTGTAATGCTTCTATGTGGTGAAAGTACAATGGTAAGGAATTTATTGCTAAATTAATAGATTATAAACAAGAAAAAATGGCTGATTCAGAACCATGAGAGACATGGGAGATTGCAGTCTGATGCCTCCTTTATGAAATAGAAACAGGAAAGAAGTTTTCAGGGAAAGAAAGGGAGAAGCATCTCAAATTTCGGCATTTGAGAGTGCCCAGATAAATGCTTAAAACTGCAGGTACACTATTTTCTAACATACAAAATGTTTGTTCTTTTCACATAGCAAACATTATTTGTTCATGTACTAAAAATCTGTTGAGGACCTCTTCCACCACAAAGGTGTATCAGATTTATGCCACTTCAGGGCCTAGAGAATCCTGGGAACTGTAGTCAGGCTGCTGACAGCCCCCTTCCAAGCTACAACCCCACTATTCCCTCAAGAAAGAGAATGACTGCTTGAAAACTGTAAGGTACCTATGTTTCTCAACGTTAGCAGTAGCGCTAAGCATTTTCCTTATGGATGTGCTTTGGAATAACTGTCATGCATACAGGATTCCATCATGGCTTATGGAAATACATTTTGAAAACTGGAAAACAATTAGCCAGCACTTTCAAGTCCCCCCCCCCCCTCCATTGGAAGGCTTCTGCTTCCCAGAATCTGGACTGTAAACTGAAGTTATGAGACCAAAGGGGAGGATCAGGGCGTGTTTGGAGATGGGTTATGAATCCAATGGATAGGTAAATGTCAGAGTTCCATAGCCAGACAACCTGTTTGCCATTTCATTCTGTTTTCCAGTCTCTCACTGTGGATGGGCAACTGGCAGGCCCTGCTCTCTCTTCTGCTAGGTTTGATCTTTAAAATTAATTTA